CCCAATCAGCCCCACCTGATGGAGCACTGAGGCTTGGAGGCAGGGTAGTGACTGCGGTGAATATAAGGGAACATGGATGCTGGAATGCTTGTGGCCCAGTAACCTTCCCAGTCAACTCTTTAACGTGTGTTCTTCACGCCCCTCACAGTATGGGAGCCAAGGCAGTAGGATTTACTAGTACCAAGATTCACCCTCAAAAGTGGGGTTCGAGTTTTCTGCCAATGATATCTGACCAAACGCCATTTTCTGAAGTTAACTCCGATGAACATTGGGTTTTGGGCAGCTCATGGACAAAATATTGGCGGAGGAGGAGAAAGCAAACCATCCTGACTGACTGCCACTGTCATTTCCTACTGACCTCCATGCCTCTCCTTTGTCCCTGAGCAGCCCCAAGGGAGGCTGGCACCATGGGGTCGTCTTACTGGGGCCCATCAAGTAGGTCAAGTTCTGCTACTGACCCTGATGTTGGCTGCCTCCAGTGATAAGCTTTGACCAAGGAAATGAGGTGGGAGTCCAGCCTGTCACCTCTAACAAGAGTCTGGAATGAGTGAGATGGCCATCCTCTAACCATCTCTGATAACACCCAGCAGGAACCTACATGTTGGCTGCTCCTTTATCCTGATTCCAGAAGAACCAGGGTGTTCATGTGCTATGAACAAGAAAGATACCTTCTTTACTCTAAGCCACTAAAGCTTTGGGGCTGCTCAACCCTCAATAACATCTAGCCTGTCCGAATGGGAACCCATCCCCTGTTCTACCCTCTAGAAGGCAGCAGAGCCTAACATCAGAAGCCGGAGTTCTGTTGTTAGAGACACATGGGTTTGATTTCAAGCTCTGCCTTTTTTTATTTTTTTATTAAATTATTATCTGTGTACATATTTTAACAATGCCCCTCAAGCTCTGCCTTTATTAACTCTACAGTCAGTCAATTTATATTGACTCTCTCAGCCTGGATTTCCTCCCCATTAAATAGATGTTTGAACCATCTCAGGTTGAAGAGAGGATTAAGTGACATAATTTAAGTAAAGCATGAAACCAGGGCCTGGCACCTGCAGTGAACACTCAGTAAGTGTTAGCTCCTTACCGTCACAATGTGTACTGAGCACAGACATACAGACAATGTGGGAAATGTCCTTGTGTTGGCCTATGTATTCTTTCAAATGTTCTTTTTAAACATTTAAAAAATATATATTTTATTGATTTTTCACAGAGAGGAAGAGAGAGGGATAGGGAGTTAGAAACATCGATGGGAGAGAATCATCAATCAGCTGCCCACTGCACACCCCCACTGGGGATGTGCCAGCAACCAAGGCACATGCCCTTGCCCAGAATCCAACCCGGGACCCTTGAATTCACAGGCCAATGCTCTATCCATTGAGCCAAACCGGTCCCGGTTCAAATGTTCTTTTTAAACAAATAGAATAGAATTACGTATGTTCTCTGATAGCCTACTTTTTATCTTAATAATTTCACATTTTGACGTTAAAAAAAATCCAGGCTGGACTGGTTCAGTTTGTAGAGTGGAGTCCCATGCACAGAAAGATTGCTGGTTCAGTTCGTATTTGAGGGCACCTGCATCCAAATTAGAAATCCAGGTGATAAATCTAGAGCTGCATCCCATTAGGGGGTCATGTAGGAGGCAGCCATCCTTTCCTTCTTCTCTCTGTAAAAGTCAATTACTTTTGTAGTCTTAAGGAATAATTGAAATAATACTTTTCACCTGAGGGAGCATTCTAAGAGCCAGGGAATCTGAAATAATGTTTCTAAACAGGATTTCAGTTATGTAGATAACACTCCCTAGAAACCTGTGACCAGCCCCTAAAAGCTAAAGTCACTTCCCAGTGTCACTGGAACGCCCCGGAACAATATTCACAATGGGCAGTGAGCGACGGGATCCTAGTGCCCCATATGAGGCTGGATTGCTACATTACCCAAAGGGCCATGCACTAAGGAGGGCTGGGTTTAGTCAATGAAGCCCAGGAGAGGCACATTATCCCTGTGCTCATTGGTTTGAGTTTGACTTCCAGAGTCTTTCTCTTGGTGGTGGTGTGTTCACAGAATATGAGGCCCCAGGACTAGGTCCCGCAGTGCAGCTGTGTTTCTGAGGCTGGTTGAGTCACAACAGGCCGAGACTGATTTCTCTGTGCCTCCCAAACTACTTTCTGCTTCCAGAGTTCAACCCGGCCTCACCTCATTCACCCTCCAGCCTCGGGTGTGGGTGCCTGTTCCGGTCCTGCAATCCAGGTCTCAGTGCCAGAACAGTGAGTTGCTTGAGGGTGCAATATGGTGTGACTGGGTGGGAGAAGGTGACAGGCTGAAAAGACACCATGTAAGGCCATGGTGGTGTGACTGAGGAGGGAGGATTGGGCAAATCTTGCCCGATTTTATGCCTAAAGGCAACAAAGAAGATGAAGCATAGTTTTGTGTGAGGAGTTTTGCTTTCATTTGCAGGAAGCTGCTGCCATTAATGGCTGTGAATAAAGGCAGCACAAAGTGTGAATGAGGGTTCTAAACTTTTCTCAAAACTTCTCATTGGCATAACATGTTAAAAGATAAAGGACAGCAGTGAGGGACGGGAAGGAGAAATCCTGTGAAAGCCCTGAGGGATGCAGGCATCACCCAGCTCTGGGCTGGGCCAGGGCCCTGAGCAGCCTGAGCCCATGGGTGCTAGGCTCTCAATAGACCGTTACTTTTTACAGTTCCCTGCAGGTGCAGAACCGATAAGGGGACTGGGTGGTAGAGCTTATTTCAGGGCCTCCTAGTCTTGTGGCATTTGAGATAGTTGTGTCCTGGGAATGTCCAGCCACTCTTCCATGTCTTTGACCTGGGGACCTTGACGAGACACCAAGTTCAGAAGTCTAAGTCCAGATCTAGTGTCATATGAATGGTTTTTGGTTTTGGCAACCAGTGGAATGGGATGTGGGAGGTTTTGCAGGCATAGGGTAAAAATTAATAACTGGTAACAATGGGACAGAAATTGTGATATGTTGGAAGTGTGCTCTGCAGGTGATTGGAGCAATGGGAGGTTTGGAGCAGTAAGGGCAAGTCATGTGACCGAGGTCACATTGGACTCTCCATGGCTGCAGCACGATGAATCATATAGATGGGATGGAGGCAGTGAAAGACTAGGATGGAAGCCCCTGTGATAGCCTCGGTGAATGTGATGGTAACTGGCCCATGATGGTGGCTGGAGTGGTGAAATAACTTTTAGATTCTGGATTGGTGTTTTAGGTGTGGCCACCAGGATTTTCTAATTTGGAGGTGGAGAGAGAGGTAAGAGTGAAAAATTTGAAAGATTGCATTTGGCAACTGGTGGTATGGAAGGGCTATCAGCTGAGATGCAGATATTCATATTAGGAAATGTAATGTTATCTGGGGATGCCAAAACGTCTATATTTTACCTGTTAGATTTTCTGATGTTTCAGGGAGCAGTTCATGAGCGTCTGGAACTCTGAGGAGCAGTTCAGAATGAAAACTTCTCTAAAATGTAGGTGGGAATATAAGGACCAGATTGGAGTTGTAGATCATTTTCTTTCTTTTTAATCGGAGACCAAAGAGTGGGTTATACAGGATGAGACTGCGGCTGTTGCATATTCACTTGTTAAACGCACACCAGGATTTTGATTGAGCCTTAGTCTTGGGTGTTGTCGTCAGTCTGGTTGATTTGCTGGGTGGCACGAGTGGGCATCTGTGAGACTCGCTGGGCATGGGCTATGGGGCCTTAGATGATGGTACTTAAGGGCTGAAGGCTATGATTGGTGAAGGGACATCAGGTGCAGCTCCAGTGGAGGCGGTGAGTGGATATCTGAGATCTGATGTGGTTCTCAGTGATTGAGGTTGAAGGAAAACACAATCAGGGAGGAAGGCCTCCTCAACAGAACTCAAGGCTGCTTCAATGAGTGTGGACTCTCAGAGTTGGTGTAGAACTTAATCCTGTTCGATTTTGCCAAGCAGACACTAATTTACACATGCTACATAATGAGTAGGACGTCAAGGAGATCGCTCTAGGGGCTGTGGATGTAGGAGTGTGAGAGAGTTGTGGGAGAAAGAGTGATGGGCCCTTGGAATAGACATGTGCCTTCATAGTTAAAGGGTCCTGACATTGCCATAAAAACTTCTGTAAAGTGTAGTTGGTAATGTAGGGACTTGAAGTTTGAGTCCATTTCTGGAGAAGTCTGGAAATATGGTATAGTGAATGTCAGATTCTCTTCTGAAAAGATGGTGTCTTTGGTGGTACATTCGTGGTTCGTGGTTCAGAGCTTCAGTGAAATGTATGTGCACACCTGCTTTTTGTTATTGAAGGCAGTTACAGTGATCAAATGGAATGAGACAGCATACATCAGTGTCTTCTGGGCTTGAAAATATCCATGGGCATGGAGAGGTGTGAAGGGTAAGAGAGAAATACATTACAGAGGTGGTGGATTTTAATTTGGAAAAGAAGGTGATTAGGAAATAAACTGCTTATTATGGCTCATTTGTGTTATATTTTAAGTTGTGCCTCTGGGAATGCAGCTGTGTGAGAAAAGTGTGGTTCTAGGAACTATATGAAGCATGTATTGCAAAGTGATGGCTTCAGCACCCTGGGATTGGGTTCAAAAGGTTGAAAAATGACACCATAACCTTGTGATTCCCTGAATCAGGGGACAACACGGTGATTGCTTGGCGAGCACACCGTGAAATCACTCACATTCTCCTGATGGACACCATCTCTCCCTACTCTATGTTCATGAAATCCACTGTATTGAAAAGGGTTGTGGTCTACTTGTGAGTTCCAGAGCAGAGGTATCATCTACAAGATTAATTGCTCTTATTGTTGGGGGCATACACAGCATCAACTAGAACAGAGGGAAAGAATGACTTTGATTGGGCCAAGGCTTGGTATCTTCTCTGATGTGGGGAGTCGAGGGAGCACATGGATGTGGATGTTGGGGAGGGTGATGAAGATAAAATCTCAGGAGAGGAACTCGTGATGGTCTGAACTGTACCAATTGTGACAGGTGATGAACTTTGAGGATGTGGCCATCACTTTCTCTGATGAGGAGTGGGGGCTCCTTGATGAGGATCAGAGACTCCTGTACTGCAAGATGATGGTAGAAGCTTTTGCACTGGTCTCATCAGTAGGTAAGACCTTCCCATCTCTCCTAGTGTCCTGAGGTGATGTCTTTCCTTCCTTTCTTCTCCTGATGGGGCTCTCACAGCCAGACCAAGGGCTGTACTTGTTTTTTCCATTGTCCTGTCAAATGTGCTGTGTATTAGAGTGCTCAATAATTTGGAGAGACCTTATCAAAGGACTGCATGAATATCCCTCACACTCATTGAGTCAAATAGGGCAGGAAGTGTCTTGGAGTCAGGATTATTAAAAACAACTTAATGGGCCCAGCTTGCATTTTATATTTCTAGGAGGGTGTCTATGTCCACATCCATGGCTTCCACTTTGGTACTATTCCTCCAGCTGATGGCTCTTTGTGACTGACTGTGCCTGGCCTTTACTTGCATAAATCATGGGCAGTTGTTGAATGACCTTCTTTCACTGTCTGTAATATTCTGGTCCCTGAACACTACTGCATGCTGTCTTGCTCTGGGTCAGTGCTGGCTGCTCAATTCTGTTGTCTTTCCATGAAACTCAGAATATTTGTGTTCTATGTGCTGGTACAGTAGAATGTTCAAGGAGAACCCTTTTTCCCCCCACAGGGTGAACATGCATGATAATCATGATCTAAAGGGTTGCCTGGCCTTCCTGAGTTACAACTGGGGGGAGTTATGACTTAACGATGGTGTTTAGATAATACAAGGAATGTAATCATGTCCAACAAGTTTAGATTGAGGTGACATTGGCAACACCTGATTTCTACCTTTTCATTCCCATATTGACACTTCCCTGTCTGATCTTTTAATCTGTGCTTTTCTGGTTTCTGGCTACCTACATTCACCTTTTTACACTTTTCCATCACCTGTTTCTCTAAGTGTTCTATCTGCAGTGTTCTCAAATATTGACCTGTTCATGTGTTATAAGGTGCACAAATGTGCTTCACTAGAGGTCTACACAAGCTTCTCATTTCTTCAATTTTACCTGGAATAAGATGTCAGCTACCTTCTGCACAACTGGCGCATGTAACCAGCAGACAAGCCCTGTTGAACACTGTTAGCAGAAGAATGGGCAGATGTTTCAGCTTCTGTTCCATGTGGTGCTTGCCATGTTTGTTTTATATTTTGCATGAGATCTTCCATTGCTGGAAAACAAATCACTTTCATTAAAAAGTGATGTTGACAGGAAGCCAGGAAGGCTGGTCAACAACCTTAATTGCTCTAACCCACTCACCCTTTTGTTGAGACATTGTTAGCTGAAGCAGCCTCCACCTTGTTGGTCCTGTGAAAGTTTCTGTTATTTCCTGCCTAAGGGCTACATGTAAATTCCTGTTTATGTTGCCTAAGATGTTTTCCCCAAAGCCTCAATTAAAGGGGATGGCAGGGCCAGAGCAGGAGTAGTTCTCCCACTAGAGTTGGACTACTGCCTGGCCCCCCATATCACCAAGTTGAATTTCTTAAAGTGTCAAGTCTCTTCATTGTGTGCTGTCCTTCTCCAGGACCCAAACCCTGAATCGAAACTCTTCCCACACAGATCGTGGAAGTGATTCCTATATTCCCGATATAATAATCATCAGCGGCTCAGATCTTCACAGCAGCATTCTATCAGTATTTTCTTCAGATGTTTTACGGTCAGACAATTGCACGGAACCAATGTGTTATTGGCAACACCCTTTTGTAATGAGACTTCTCCCTTTCAGCACAGTCGATATTCATTTCACCACCATTTTTCTGTTTTCAGGTTGTTGTCATAAAACGCATGATGCGGAGGAGAGTGTACCTGTACTCGCAGAGTCACAGGTCAGTGCTTCTCAGACAGCTCCAGCAACCCAGAGGACCCATCTCTGCAGGAGGTGTTTCTCAGTGTTCAAAGCTATTCTGCACCTGACTGAGTCACAAGCAGCAGACTTAGAGCAGAAAGCCTTCTTCAGGGCCACATGTGTGAGAGACTTCTGTTTCAGTGCAAACCCTCAGGAGCCTCAGAGGGAAGCCAGTGGAGAGAAGCCCTGGAGAAAAGCTGTGGACAGAGACTCATTTGTGACCAGGTTCAGTTTATACTTATCAGGGCTGCCTTCAACCAGAAGGGAGGCTGTGGAAGACTTCCCAGCCATCTCACAGTTTCTCCACAAGCAGGCCCCTCTTGACACTGAGCAACCACACAGTCATACTGAGATTTCAGAGGAATTTCTCAATAGAAAAAGGCATCACCATTGGGATGATTGTAAAAAACCTTCCAGCCACAACCAGAACCTTATGCAACATCAGGGCATCGGCTCTGGAGAAGTCAATGATAAGTGTAATACATGTGGGAAAGCATTTTCATTTATATTTAACCACAATAGACATAGAAGAGTTCACACTGGAGAAAAGTCCAATCAGTGTACTGACTGTGGGAAGCTGTTCAATCAAAGGTCTTCCCTCTCTACACATTACAGAGTTCACACTGAAGAAAAACATTACAAATGTAGCGAATGTGGAAAATCATTTAAGCGCAATTGTGACCTCTTTAGACACAAGAAAATTCACACTGGAGAAAAATCTTACAAATGTAGTGAATGTGGAAAATCATTTAGGAGCAATTATAACCTTTTTAGATACAAGAGAGTTCACACTGGAGAAAAACCTTATGAGTGTAGTGAATGTGGGAAATCTTTTAGGCAGAAATGTCACCTCCTTTTCCATCAGAGAGTTCACACTGGAGAAAAGCCATATCAATGTAGTGATTGTGGGAAGTGCTTCCATATGAACTCTAGCCTCATTAAACACTACAGAATTCACACTGGAGAAAAACCTTACAAATGTAGTGAATGTGGAAATTCATTTAAGTCCAATCATGACCTCTTTATACACAAGAGAGTTCACTCTCGTGAAAAACCTTATGAGTGTAGTAATTGTGGGAAGTGCTTCCATGAGAACTCTAGCCTCATTAAACACTACAGAGTACACACTGAAGGAAAACCTTACAAATGTAGTGAATGTGGGAAATATTTTAGGCGGAACTATCACCTCCTTCTCCACCAGAGAGTTCACACTGGAGAAAAACCATATCAATGTAGTGATTGTGGAAAATGCTTCAGTCAAAAATCTAACCTCATTAAACACTACAGGATCCACACTGGAGAAAAACCATATGAGTGCAGGGAATGTGGGAAGTCTTTTAATCAAAGTTCTACCCTCGCTGTACATAAAAGAGTTCACACTGGAGAAAAGCCATATGAGTGTAGTGAATGTGGGAAGTCCTTCAGCAAAAGCTATAGTCTCATTCGACACCACAGAGTTCACACTGGAAAAGGGTCTCATCATAGCAGTGAATGTGGGAAATCTTTTCACTACAAATGTTTACTTGTCCAACACTTAAGAGAACACACTTCAGAAAAGCTTTAAATGTGCAGGGTATGTTTTACTTTCTCATGTAGAACACCACCACCAGAGGAGAAACTTTTATCCCCATTTACTTGAATGCAAACCCCTTAATCAGAACATACACTCTGCCAGATGCCTCCTAAGTTTCAGGTATAAATAACACTTTCAGGAACTTCATCGTACTTTGTAATCTAGTTAGGTCTACATACTGACTGATGTTGCTGGAGAGTTTGTCTGGAAGATATTTCAGCTCTACCACCTGGATCACCTTAAGAGTATGCATCCATCACATGGGGTTGTGCTTGAGAAAATTATGAATATTCTGAGCTCCTGGATGAATCTTTATTCCTTTATTTATTACCAGAGAATTTACCTGTACCAGGTTTTGTCCAGAGCCCACTTCTTCCACCAAGAAGTGCTATCTGTTTCAGAGACATTGTGGGACTCACATTATGCTGTGATGAAGTGTTTCAGGTTCCAGTTCATCAACCTTCAAACCTCTTGCTGCCCTCTACACTGGTTTATGATCTTTATTTAAAGGTGTTTTTTCTTTGGTACTTTAATTCTGTTGGTTCTATTCTCTCCCTGGGATGATTGAAATGAAACTTGTGTTCTGTCAGCCTGGAGAGGTGAACAATATGGTGTGATCTCAAACTTTCTGTGCTTTGTAAGGCACAGCTTGATGGCAGAAAATCACTCTTTGCTCAATCTTGGCTGATTTCGTATTGCCAATGAAGGCCTTGAGAGAAAGTGTGCATGACTTTGTGGTTCTAATGTGCTTTCTGGTGCCTCTTATATTGTAGAGGTCAATGGTCACCCTGAACAGGCAAACTTTATTGTGCTCCTGTGAACAATATAAATCATATTCTCTGTTCACAGGATGTGTTACATAAGTGCCAGCAATGTTTAGGGGAACTACTCTCCACGTGCTCCAAAGAGGCAATGTGTCAGGATGTGTGAGATTTCATAGGGTGGTGTCATTTGTTCTAAGACTCTGAGGTGGAATTATTTTGGGACATAATTACTTTTTCTTATTCATGGAAGACACTTCAGTTAAACTGGATAAAAAGTGTCTCTCTTGGACTTAAACCCAAATTATTTCATGTCCTGTGGTTTGTATGATCTTTGAGAACTTTCTGAGCATCTCCATCACTATTTCCTGTAGTTGGAAGCACTAGTAGATAAAATAATCTCATGGTTTTGTGCATTTCCCTGGCCCTTTAGTGTGTTCACCGCAAGGTTGTTGCTCAGCAAGCAAGATCTCAAATCAAAGGAAGGATAATGCTGTAATAATTCCCAGGACGCGTCTTTTGTAACCACTCAGCGTTCCTGTTGGTTCCAATGGCAATAACTTTCCCTACTTGACAACATTTGCTGCCACTGAGGCAAGGCTGGTCTTCCCAGAAAATGAGAACTGAAATGCAACAGGGAGCACTTTTCTCCTGTGTGCTATTTGGTGAGCTCTGACCTAGAGATAAAGCTGTGAAACTGTCACATGTGACATAAACCCATCTGTAGCTCATACACAGTGTGCAGAAACAATGTGCTTACAATAGTATGTTTGGAAAACACAGATTATTCTTTTTGAAAAAATATTTTAGAAAATGATTCTATTCACTTTTTGAAAGAGAAAGAGTAAGAGACTGGAAGAGAGAGGTGATCATAGATTGGCTGCCTTCTGCAACTGGAAATCCATTTGGGGTTGTTCACTGACCAGGAATTAAACCAGAGACCTTTCAGTGAATGGGATGACACCCAACCAACTGAGGACACTGGCATGGGCATAGTTTATTCCTATTTATTATTATTATTATTTAATGTATCACTTTACATACCAACAACTTTGTACCTTCTTTTACCATACCCTCTGTTTTCCTACCGCCCTGTTACAATCCTCTTTCTGACTTTCTCTGCCCTCCATACACTCAGGGATTCTCCATTCTTTACAATAGAACAGTTAACAATGTATATAATTTTATACTACTTAATGTGTATTTTTTTTAAACATATACTGGTTTCCCCCATGCCACAGAATCATTTTAAGATTTAGTACAAATGATTGTGAGAAGAGTTCATTTTTTTAAATTAATGAGTAGTACTGGATTCTGTGAATAACAAACCAGTTTATTAATTTATCTATGTATTTTGTTATTTCCAGGTTTAGGGTATTATACATAACTCTTCTGGGAATATTTGCATTCAGTTCTCTGTATAGACATATGTTTTACTTATCAAACTGTTGTGTAGGTGAATGTTTTACATTTAAGATATGCAGAACTTTGAGCCAAAATGGTCATTCCCTTTGGCTTACCACTAACCACACATAAAAACTCCAACTTTTCTGCTACCCTGCAAGGGCATACAATGGTTAACCATTTTAAATAGGAAGCCTGGAAATGCATATAATGTTAACTTAATTCCATCTACCCAGGAATACTTTATGGTGAACATTTTTTATACATTTTTGCACTGTATTTGTCTGCCTTTTTTAAAATGTATGCTGAGAATCTTTTTCAAATTGTTTAAATAAATTTATCCTTTTAACTGAAAGAGGACTGTGCCACATTTAAGACATCTGCTTAAATTTCCCTCATTCCTCAGGGACTCGGGTGACACCTTTCCCGTATGGAACCATTGGTTCGGAATCCTGAAGGAAATTGTTGTACTAATTTTATTTCTTTCTTTCTTTCTTTCTTTTAATTTTATTGATTTTTCACAGAGAGGAAAAGAGAGGGATGGAGAGCCAGAAACCGATGAGAGAGATACATCGACCAGCCACCTCCTGCACACCCCCCACTGGGGATGTGCCCGCAACCAATGCACATGCCCTTGAACGGAATCGAACCCGGGACCCCCCAGTCCGGAGACCGATGCTCTATCCACTGAGCCAACCCGGTCTCGGCTGTTGTTCTAATTTTCAATCATAAGTACAACTGAGGCAAAATTATACCATATTCTTATAAATTTAATCTGCATTGTTAAAGTTTAGAGCCATGCTTATTTAAGTCTAAGCATTCAATAATACATTAAGTGAAGTCTAGGTTTGTAGCATTTGTCAGTTTCCCTGGTGTAAATACTCTCATCATGGCCAATTTTAAACTACCACAACCATGGCATTGAACATGGACATGATAAGATCTTCCGGAAGCATGTCATTGTATTTCTCACAAACTGATACAGTAGCAACAAATATGCTCCAGAACTTTTATATAATAACACAGTAAAATAATTGGGAAGCCTCAAGTTTTAAACCTTTTTAAAAGTTTGATTTAAGTATAATTGATTTTACACACACACACACACATGCACACGCACACACGCACTAGAGGCTCAGTGCATGAAAATTCTTGCACTTGGAGGAGGGGGTCTCTCAGCCTGCCCTCCACCCTCTCCAATTCTGGGACCCCTTGATGGATGTCCACCTGCCAGCTTTTGCCTGTTCCCTGAGGAATCGAACCTAAGCTAGCAGTCAGACATCCCTCCGGCAGCCCGGGACCCCACAAGTAGGAATGTCCACCTGCCAGTGCTCCAAGCTGTGAGCCTAGCTTGTGTCTGAGTGGAGCTCACTGACCACCTGGGGGCAGCTTCTGCGCTGAAAGTCTGCCCCCTGGTGGTCAGTGCACATCATAGCGACCATTCTTTCAGCTGTGAGGATCAAATACATATTGTACGCTTTTGGTGTTTCCATGTATTCCAGCATAGCTGAAACCAAGTCCCTCCTGCCCTTATCAATGCTTCAATTCTGGCATTTAAAATAACTGCAGAAAAATATAGTCTGCCTTTGAAGTAGCTTATGAAATCTATCCACGTAAAAATGACTAAAAATGACGTATGAAATCCTATGAATCCCATTCTAGCTTTCCACCACTACCTGTCATCATGATGGTATTTATGTGTATCTATTCTCAGGCATATTGTTGGGTTATTTTACCTAAACAGGCACATACGTCTGGCTGTCACCAAATAGCTCAGTGGGCCCTAGCCAGTTTGGCTCAGTAGATAGAACATCAGCCTTTGGTCAGAAGTGTCGCAGGTTCGATTCCGGCCAAGGGCACATGCTTGGGTTGCGAACTCGATCCCCAGTAGGGGGTGTGCAGGAGGCAACTGACTGGTGATTCTCTCTCATCATCAACATTTCTATTGCTCTTTCATCCTCCCTTCCTCTCTGAAGTCAATAAAGATATATTTTTTAAACCAACATAAATGTATTAAAAAAAACAAAACAAATTTAAAAAAAATCCAATAGCTCAGTGGGTCAGAGAATCATATCAATAATGTGAAGGTTGCAAGTTTCATTCCAGATCAAGACCATTCCAAGCATCAGCCAAAGAAGGTATCACAGTAATGGAACAAAAAAAAATGCTTGTTTCTCTCTAAATATCCCTGTTTTTATCTCTCAAAATCAATATATATGCTTTAACCGCCCAGTCAGTTCACACACGTGTGAACACCAGAGCCGCCCAGGGCCCCGTGGTGACCAGCAGCCGGGGTTCCCATGAGGGCAGAGCAGGCAATGACCCCAGGACCAGGATGGGCGGTGCCAGGGCTGAGCTGCACAAGCACCCACAGGGGCAGTGACATCTGTGTTCTCCCTGGACTAATGCCAAAGCAGCCGGGACACGCTCTGGGCCTGGATGTGCCCCTTGTGGTCTCTGCGCCTGCCAGGCGGGGGTTGAACCTGGGCTACTGCACCTTCAGGGGGTTGAAGAGCTTAGGTTCCTCTCAGGTGTCAATGCTGGGAGCAGCAGTGGCATCTGGGCAGGTGGGTGTGGGCAGAAAAACTCAGGAAGTTCCCAAGGAGAGTTGGTGCTGGGCCATGTGTGTGGCTCTGAGGCCCTCTCTGGTTCCAGTCCAGGGTGTGTGTGTGTGTTAGTTTACCAGTAAGCATTCAATAGTATAATAAGTGAAGTCAAGGTTTGTAGTATTTTTCAATTTCCCTGTTGTGAATACTCTCATCATTGTCGGCTTCATACTTCCAAAATTATGGCACTGAACAGGGGCATGGTAAGATACTTCAGTAGCTCATCATGCTTTATTTCCAACATACCGGTAAAGTAGGAACAAATATGATCAAGAACGCTCATAATAAAATAGTAAAACAATTGTAAAGGGGTAAGTTTTAAACGTTATTTAAAACTTTGATTTAAGTACAATTGATTTAAAACAATAAAAAAATATCTTTTATTGAGTTCAGAGAGGAAGGGAGAAGGAGATAGAAACATCAATGATGAAGAGATAATCACTCGTAGGCTGCTTCCTGTACCTCCCCTCTCCCTGGGAATTGAACCTGCAACCCATGTAGTTTCCTGATCATAAAGGACCAAGAGGTCCTTAGGTCTACGGTCAACCAATGAATCACACCAGCTGGGCTATAGTATTTTTTAAAGAATTAATATTTGTATTTTTTTCTTTTTAAACAAATTTTATTGTAGTTTTACAAAGAGGAAGAGAGGGATAGAGAGTCTGAAACATTTATGAGAGAGAAACATCAATCAGCTGCTTCCTGCACAACCCACACTGGGGATGTGCCTGCAATCCAGGTACAGACCCTTGACTGTAAATGAACCTGGGACCTTTCAGTCTGCAGGGCGACACTATATCCACTGAGCCAAACTGGTCAGGGGTGTATGTTTTATTATTGATAGTATTACCGATGTCTCCCATTTCCCCCTTATATGTATTCTTTGGTGGATCTGTCCCTGTGGACCAGGTAAGCAGACCTCCGGCACCGCTTGTGGGGCCTCCACACTTTTACTCCAAGTTCCTTGTCTGGGATGAGTCCCCCTCTCGGATAGGAAAAACTACATTACCCAGAAGGCACTGCACCAGAGTGAGAGGTAAAGAGCATCTTGGCGCCTGCACATCCGGTTGGGGCGGGACTTCCTGCGTCCTCCTCCTGGCGGCCATTTTGGCGTGTTTCGCGTGTTCACAGACTCAGCGGCAGCGCTCAGGCGGCGAGTAGGAGTCGTCGTCCCGCCGGACAGGGTGTCTGAGGCGGGGCACCCCCACCCGGCGGGACTGGGTCCCCGGGCCCCCGCCTCCTCCCGCGGACACAGCGCCCTCAGCAGCCCCGGCGGCCCTCCCGCCTCGGGGCGGCGCCGCTCAGGCCGCAGCCCAGGCCGCCGCCCGGAGCAGTGAGTGCCCGTGGGGGCCGCAGGGGCGGGCTGTGGGCTGAGGTCAGGGCCTCCCACTGCGGGGGCCTCAGGCTGTGGGGCCTGGGCTGTCCAGCCTCTCTCCTCGGGGGACCTTGAACCTTGAATGGGCACCAAGCCAAGAACCTTCACTATAGGGTAAGGGTCGTGTGAGTGGCACCTGATTTGGGCCACCAGTGGAATTGTGGGTGATAGGCCCTTCCATGCATAGATTCCAGAATGTGCGAAGGCTTGAAGACCAAGCTGTTTGAGGGATAAGCAGGTGTTAATTTTTTTAAAAATCGGAAGTCAACAGTGGGACAGGAATCCAGTCCAGAGAAGCTTTGTGACAACTGGGGTTTCTGTTCTGCTGGCGGTGGGGTCATTGGGGTCATTGGAGCAGTAGAGCAGGTGAGGTGTCCCAGGTCTCATTAGACTCTTGTGACTGCAGCATGAGGCACAGCATGGGTGTGAGGACGCGGGTAGGAAGACTACAATGGAAGCTGCTGTGATGGCCTTGGTGAGGGGGATGGTGACGGGAGCACAGTGGTGGTTGTGGATGTGGAAGAAGCAGTTGCCTTAGGGATCAGTGATTTAGGTGTGGCCACCTGGATTTTCTAATTTTGAGGATTGGGGAGAGAGGTAAGAATCAGAGATGATGTAAAGGTTTGGATTTAGCACCTGAAGGTATAAAAGCACCATCACCTGACATGGAGAAATTCATGGTGGGAAAAGTAATATTCGTTAGGGATATGAAATCTTTTATTCTTTCCTATTAGGGTATGAGATATTTCAGAGGCCGGTGTATGACTATCTGGAACTCTGAGGAGTAAGTCAAGATGAAGAGTTTTTAAAAAAATAGTAAAGACTGCCAAAACCAGTTTGGCTCAGTGAATAGAGCGTCGGCCTGGGGACTGAGGGGTCCTAGGTTCGATTCCGGACAAGGGCATGTGCCTGGGTTGCGGGCGCATCCCCAGTGGGTGGTGTGCAAGAAGCGGCTGGTCAATGATTCTCTCTCATTGATGTTTCTGGTTCTCTGTCCCTCTCCTTTCCTCTCTGTAAAAAAATCAATAAAATATATTTTTAAAAATAGTAAAGACTATGGAAATGGGAGGAGTTGTAGATCACCTTTTTATTTTATTTCATTGGAGGTAGAAGAGTAATTCAAAAACGGTGAGCCTGTGGCTGGTGCATATTTACTTCGTAAACACTCACCAGGATTTCTTGTGACCTTTGTGTGGCGTGGTGTGTTGCATCCAGTTTGGTTAAGTTGCTATGGGCTTGAGTGGGCATCTGTGAGACTCACTGGGGATGGGGCAGAGGGCCATAGGCGGTGGGACTTGAGTCCTGAGGGCTGTGAGTGGAAAAGGGACATCAAGTGCAGCAGCTGTAGACGTGGGCTCTGGGTAACTGAGATCTGATGTGGTTCTCAGTAGGGGAGGTTGAAGGAAAAACAAGTTGGGTGGGATGCCTTCATAGTAGAACTGAAGGCTCTGTATTGTGTGTGTGTGGGCAATCAGACTCAGGTTAGTCCTTGATACTATTTAAATTTGTCATGCATTCTCTGAGTGAACACACATGCTGAGTAATGACTAAGACCAAGGAGATGTCTATGGGAGCTGAGCTACAGGAGCACAGGTGTGGGAGAGGTGTGGGAGAAGGAGTGATGTGCTCTCGGAGAGGGAGTGTGAATTCATGGCCACAGCTCCCTGATGTTGCTATAGAGGGAATTAGGTTGAGTCCATTTCTGGTGATACTGGATGATACAACATGGGGAATTTTAGGATAATTCCTAAACAGACAGGTGTTGTGGCACTACATGCCAGGTCCAGAATTTAGGTGTCATATGGGTGCACAGCTTCCTGTTATTGTTGGACTGATACAGTAATCAATAGGAATGGGATAGCATACTGCTGGGCTTGAAAATCTCTACAGGCTTGGGGAAGGGTAAAGGGTAAGAGAAATACATTACAGAGGAGGTGAGTTAGAATGTGGAAAAGAGGGCGATTAGAAAACATCCCCTTTCTCTCCATGGCGTATACGTTTTGTCTTTGAAGCTGTGACTCTGGGAATGAAGCTGGCTGAGAGAAGTGTGATATAAAGAATTATGTGGAACAGGTAGCACAAAGTGTTGGCCTCAGCACCCTAGGATTGGAATCGAAAGGGTGCAATGTGTTGTCATGTTTTTCGAGGTCTTGGGAAGAAGAATGTGTTGGATATTGCCCCACTAGACCAGTGGCAAATTACTCACATTTCTCTTTCTGGCCAACATTTATCTGTCCCCTATGTTGGTGACAACCATTGTGTTGACTCTAAATGTGAGGCCTGAGGTCAGGAATGATCAATCTGGGCATCTTCTTTATTGCTGGGGGAAGACTCAATATCAGTAGAAATATAAAGAGAGAGTGACTCTGGTGGATGCAAGGTCTGCTATTTTCTGTGATGTGGGATTTGAAGGAGCAAATGGTTATAGAGAATGGGACATAAGATGAAAGTTAAATCCTAGGAGAGAAGCTGATCATGGACTGATTTGTCCCCATTACAACAGGAGATGAACTTTGAGGACGTGGCCATCGCCTTCTCTCAGGAGGAATGGGGACTCCTTGATGAGGCTCAGAGACTCCTGTACTGTGATGTGATGCTGGAAGTGTTTGCACTGGTCTCGTCTGTAGGTAAGAGCTTCACATTGTCCTGAGGTGATGCCCTCTCTTCCTTTATTCTCAAAACATGGCTTTCTCTCTTCCACAGCCATACCCCGGGCTCTGCTCATTTCTGCGCCTGTCTTGTCAAATGTGCTGTGGCTGCCATTGCTGAGCTGTGTGGAGAGCCCTGACCAGTGGACTCCAGGAACATCCCTGGCATCCATTGCCTGAAAAAGTCAGAAAGTGTCTGGGAATCGGGAATCTTACAGGCAGCTTAATGGGTCTCATGTTACTCACCTCTCCCTGGGAGGGTGACAATACCCACGTTTATTCACTTCTTCCCTCTTCCTGTAGGGAAAGGTGCTTTATGTTCTTCACTGACATGAACCTTGGACTATTCTTGTAAGACCTCTCTTCAATTGTTGTTTGTAATATTACCTTAACTGAGTACTGTTGCGGACCAAATTGCACTTGGCCAGAGCTGGCTGCTCTTTTCCATAGTCTTTCATTCATACTCGGAATATTTAGGCTTTATGCATTGGTAGAGTAGAAGATTCTGGGAGAATCTGGTTTACTCACAGGTGAACATGGAAGATGGTGTCAGAGGAGGTATGGCCATGCTGAGTGACAACTTGTGGGAAAGTATGACATAATGATGGTGGTCAGATGGTACTAGGAACCGGCTAATTTTCAACATTGTTTAGGGGCAGGTGCCACTGGCTACACCCCATTTCTACCTTTTCTTTCCCATAGTTGACACATTGCTGATTTGCATTTCATCTGTGACTTCCTGGCATTTGGCCACCTTCACCTTTATCATTTTGCGTCACCTGTCCCTCTATACTGCTTCCTCTGCAGTATTTTCCTACATGGACCTGCACATGTGTTATGAGTTGCACATATATGCTTAAGTCATCCTGATTGCCTGCTACTCAATTATTGAATTTTACTTTTTTTTTTTTTTTTTTTTTTTTTTTTAGTATATTTTTTATTGATTTTTTTACAGAGAGGAAGAGAGAGGGATAGAAATTAGAAATATCAATGAGAGAGTATCATCGATCAGCTGCCTCTTGCACACTCCCTACTGGGGATGTGCCCATAACCAAGGTACATGCTCTTGACCGGAATCGAACCCAGGACCTTTCAGTCCGCAGGCTGATGCTCTATCCACTGAGCCAAACTGGTTTCAGCTGAATTTTACTTGGAATAAGACATAACCAACCTTCTTCACAGCTTGCCCTGCTTGCCCCTGTCATGAGCAGACCAACCCTGCTGAGCACTCTTAGCAGAAGAATAATCTGGAAATACATCTTCTCTTTCATGTGGTCCTTACCATGTGTGTGTCATGTTTCAGGTGAGGTCTTCCCTGTTTTGTGACCTTCAGAAGCCCAGACATTCACAACAGTTTCTTGTTAATCCTTCCTGCACATCTCTTATTTTCAGACAGTTGCATTGAACCCATGTATTATGTCCAAAGTACTTTAGCAATAGCACTTCTGTCACCACAGTCAACATTCAGTTCTTCCTCAATTCTCTCTTTTCAGGTTGTTGGCATAAAATGGATGATGAGGAGGAGGTCTGTCTTGAGCAAAGCATATCTGTTCAAGTAGAGTCACAGAGCAGGGCTTCAAAGACAGCTCCAGCAACCCAGAGGAACCATCTCTGTAGGAGATGTTTCTCTGTATACAAAGATATTCTACACCTGACTGTGTCACAAGCAGCAGACTTTGAGCAGACAGCCTTCTTCAGTGACGCATGTGTGAGAGACTTCTGTTTCAGTGGAAACCCTCAGCAGCAGCAGAGGGATGCCAGTGGAGAGAAGCCCTGGAAAAAAGATGTGGACAGGGCCTCGTTTGTTACCAGGTGCAGCTTCTACTTACCTTGGGTGCCTTCAACTAATAAGGAGATTGGGGAAGACTTTCCAGCCATCCCAGAGCTTCTCCAGCCCCAAGCTCCTCTCAGCACTGAGGAGACACACAGTGGCAGTGACGTTTCACAGGAATATCTTGGTGGAAAAAGTCTTCAACAGACTTGTAACTGTGAAAAATTTGGCAGCCACAACCAGAAAGTTGTTCAGTGTCAGGGCGCCTGCTCTGGAGAAGGGAAATATGAGTGTGAAAAATGTGGGAGAGTTTTTAAACGAATTTTTCACCTAATTCAACATGGAACAATTCATACTAACAAAAAGCCTTATCAATGTACTGATTGTGGAAAATCTTTTAGGAACAATAAATACCTCTTCAACCACAAGAGAGTTCACCGTGGCAAAAAAACTTTTAAATGTATTGATTGTGGGGAGTTCTTTGGACCGAAATTGTCACTCATTCAACACCACAACGTTCATACCAGAGAAAAGCCTTATGAGTGTAGTGATTGTGGAAAGTCCTTCAGGGTAAGCTCTCGCCTCAAAGAATACAACCGTGTTCACACTGGAGAAAGTCCCTATGACTGTACTGACTGTGGGAAGTCCTTCAGTAGAAACCATGCCCTCTTTGAACACAAGAGAATTCACACTGGTGAAAAACCTTTTAAATGTAGTGATTGTGGGAAGTTCTTTAGACGAAAGTCTACCCTTATTCAGCACCACAGAGTTCATACTGGAGAAAAGCCGTATGAGTGTACTGATTGTGGGAAATTCTTTAGACAAAAGTCTACCCTCAGTAAACACCACAGAGTGCATACCAGAGAAAAGCCATGTGAGTGTAGTGATCGTGGGAAGTCCTTTCAACACCACAGAGTTCATACTGGAGAAAAGCCGTATGAGTGTAGTGATTGTGGAAAGTCCTTTAGACAAAGACCTACACTCATGGACCACCACAGAGATCACACTAGAGAAAATCTCTATGAGTGTACTGATTGTGGGAAGTCCTTTGGACAAAGGTCCTATCTCATTTCACACCACAGAGTTCACACTGGAGAAAAGCCATATGAATGTAATGATTGTGGAATGTCCTTCAGGAAAAGCTTTCAATTCACTGAACACCATGTTCACACTGGAGGAAAACCCTATCAGTGTACTGAGTGTGGAAAATCTTTTAGGAACAGTAATAACATCTTCAACCACAAGAGAGTTCACAGTGGCATAAAAACTTTTAAATGTAGTGATTGTGGGAAGTTCTTTAGACACAAATTGTCACTCATTCAACACCACAACGTTCATACCAGAGAAAAGCCTTATGATTGTAGTGATTGTGGGAAGTCCTTCAGGAGAAGCTATGACCTCTTTGAACACAAGAGAATTCACACTGGTGAAAAACCTTTTAAATGTAGTGATTGTGGGAAGTTCTTTAGACAAAAGTCTACCCTCAGTAAACACCACAGAGTGCATACCAGAGAAAAGCCATATGAGTGTACTGATTGTGGGAAGTTCTTTAGACGAAAGTCTACCCTCAGTAAACACCACAGAGTGCATACCAGAGAAAAGCCATGCGAGTGTAGTGATTGTGGGAAGTTCTTTAGACGAAAGTCTAACCTTAGTGAACACCACAGAGTTCACACTGGAGAAAAACCCTATCTGTGTACTGATTGTGGAAAATCTTTTACGAGACATAATCATTTACGTAGGCACAGGAGAGTTCACACGGGAGAAAAACCGTTTTAATGTGATTGTGGGAAGTTCTTCAGTCTAAAGGGGAACCTCATTTATCACCACAGAGTTCATACTGGAGAAAAGCCATGAGTGCAATGATTGTGGGAAGTTCTTTAGATGAAAGTCTAACCTTATTGAACATCACAGAGTTCATGCTGGAGAAAAACCATATAAGTGTAGTGATTGTGGGAAGTCCTTTAGAGAAAGATGTTCGCCCATGGACCACCACAGAAGTCACACTGGAGAAGAGCCATATGAGTGTAGTAAATGTGGGGAATGTTTTAGGGCAAACCTAGCCTTGTTAGATGCCTGAGAGTTCACATTGGAGAAAATCCTTAACTGTGCAGGGGATTTTTGTCTTTCTCTCTACAACACTAAAGGAGACTTAAATCCGTTTGCCTGAATATAAACCCCTCTTATCTGAACATACATTGTGGGAAATTTCTCAAGTTTGAGGTACAAGTGAGGCTTGAAGGAGCTGCATTGCCTTTGCTAACTTCTGAGGACTCCACCTCATTTATGTGACTTTTTAGTATTTGTGGCCGAAGTGACCTACTCTACCACTTGTCTCACCTGAACAGTGTGCATAAGTCACAACCCCTGTGTGCTCAGGGGAAAGGAATTCTGTGTTCTTCCTTATGCTTGAGAAATTTATGAATATGCTGAGCTCTTGGCTGTATCTTCAATCTTTTTTTTTCTTGACTAGAGAATTGACCGACCCAGGTTTCGTCCAGAGCACCCATCCTCAGCTAAGAAGTGGTACCTCTTTCAGGGACATTGTGGGTCTCACATTACATTGTGATGAAGTGTTTCAGGTACCAAATCAACAACATGCAAACCTTTTGCATTCCTCTGCTCTGGTTTATGATCTTTATGTAAAGAGTTTTTTTCTTTTCAACCTTTAATTTTGTTGGTTCTTTTGATGCCTTGGGACGATTGAAAGGAAAGTAGTGATCTGTCAGCATTGTGAGGTGAAGAGATATGGTGGGGTCCCAAGCTTTTTGTGCTTTGGAAAGCACAGTAGGATTTCAGTACAGCACACTTTGTTAAATATTGGCTTATTTTGTGTTGCCAGCCAAGGCCTTGAGAGAAAGTCTGCATGATTTTGTGGTTGTAATTTGCAGCCTGGTGATTCTGTTATTGGTGATGTCATGGTCACCCAGAAAGAAGGCCTTTGTTGTGCTTCTATGAACAATAACAATTTTATTCTTTGTTCACAGCATTTATTCCACAACTCTCAGCAGCTTTTCAGGGATTCCTACCCACATACTGTAAAGCAGCCATGTGCCATAATGTATAGAATTTCATAGGCTGGTGCCATTTCTTTTAAGACACTCAGGTTTAGATTGAACCACAATTCGGAGATAAAACACTGGGTTCGTAATGAGTGGATAAAACTGGAGTAAATTAGATGAAACTGCATCTTCTCAACGTTATCCAGAAATGGTCGTGTGCTGTGGCTGGTGTGACCTTTGTGTATAAACATTCTGGGGACCTCCATCAATGTCTCCTGTGACCGAAATAATTGACAGAAAAAATAATGTAAGTTTTTTGGATTCCCCTCATCCATCTAGGGTGTTCACCTTGAGGTTTGCTCAGCAGGCAAAACCTCAGAGCTAGAGGAAGGATAAGTCCGTCATCAGCCTCAGGATGTGTCTTTTGTGATTCCTGTTGATTCCCATGGCAGTGGTCTTCACTGCTTGCCAATACTTGCTGCCATCGAGGCAAGGCTGGTCCTCTCAGGAAATTAGGAGAGAGATGGTAGAGTCCATCTAGGGTTGACCTTTTAACTTTATAACAACACAGGTACATATAGGTCTTTATTTGCAAGTTCTTTTTAGGCTTTATTTAGGTATCTTTATAACTGAAATGTAACAAAATGCACTTTTCTCATGTGTATTTTGTGACCTTGGACATATGGATCAATCTGTAATACCATCACGTGTGAAATAAATTTCTCACTCACATACAGGTATAGGGCTAAAGTAGGCTTAGAGATGTGAATATGCAAAAAGTGTTTATTCTCTTTTTAAAAATAAGTATTTTATATGCCTTTAAAATAACTTTTAAAAAATATGTTTTATTGATTTTTTTTTACAGAGAGGAAGGGAGAGAGACAGAAAGCCAGAAACATTGATGAGACAGAAACATCGTCCAGCTGCCTCCTACACACCCTCACTAGGTATGTGTCCACAATCAAGCCATATACCCTTGACCAGAATCGAACCTGGGACCCTTCAGTCTGCAGGCCGATGCTCTATCCACTGAGCCAAACCGGTTTTGGCAAAACCATCACTTGTGAAATAAATTTATCTCTCACCCACATATAGGTTAGGGCAAAAGTAGGCTTAGATATGTGAATATGAAAAACTAAGTGTTTATTCTCTTTTTTTAAATATATATTTTATTGATTTGTTTACAGAGAAGAAGGGAGAAGGATAGAGAGTTAGAAACATAGATGAGAGAAACATTGACCAGCTGCCTCCTGCACACCCCGTACTGGGGATGTGTCTGCAACCAGTGTACATACCCTGGAACCTGAGACCTTTCAGTCTGCAGACTGACGCTCTATCCACTGAGCCAAACTGATTCGGCTTATTATCTCTCTCTCTCTCTCTCTCTCTCTCCCCCTTTTTTTTTTTTTTTTTTTTTTTTTTTTTTTTTTTTAATATTTTTTATTGATTTTCCACAGAGAGGAAAGGAGAGAGATAGAGAGCTAGAAACGTCAATGAGAAACATGGACCAGCTGCCTCTTGCACACCACTTAATGGAGGTGTGCCCGCAACCAGTGTACATACCCTTGAACCTGGGACCTTTCAGTCCGCAGACCAACGCTCTACCACTGAGCCAAACCAGTTTGGCGGCTTATTCTCTTTTTAAAAATAAATATTTTTAGCCGAAACCGGTTTGGCTCAATGGATAGAGCATCGGCTTGGGGACTGAAAGGTCCCGGGTTCGATTCCGGTCAAGGGCATGTACCTTGGTTGCGGGCATATCCCCAGTGGGGGGTGTGCAAGAGGCGGCTGATCAATGACACTCTCATCGATGTTTCTAACTCTGTATCCCTCTCTCTTCCCCTCTGTACAAAATCAATAAAATATATATTAAAAAAAAAAAAAAAGATGCAGCTAACTGCTGCCTCCTGCACACCACCTACAGGGCACCCAGGCAGGGATGGAACCTGTGACTTTCAGGGCAAGGGATGATGCCCAACCAACTGCGGCACACTGGCAGGGAAGAATTTTTCTCTGTTTATTAACTAGAGGCCTGATGCATGAAGTTCCGTGCAGGAAAGGGCCTTCCTTCCCCCGACTGCAGGCACCGCCTTGGCTCTGATGGAGCTGCCTTTTCACTCTGCCCGCTCAACTACCTGAGCTACATCAGCTTGAGCCCACTGCAGGCTTCTCACCCCTCAGCCCTCTGTGAGCAGGACAGGATGGCTTCCAAGGTCCCAGGAGGAGTGTCTGGGATTGACTTCACTCATTCTCTGCAACCTCCTTTCTCTGGGTTGAAAAATTTTGCGAAGGCTTTGGCTCTAACCCAGTTCCTTTTCCTATTAGATGTAGAGTTTTAGGTCATGGCCAGCCCTCATGCCCTTCTAGCTGGGGAAGCGGCCTAAATTTGGGGCTCCGAAGGATGGTGTGCTCTGCCGGCGTCGCGATAATTGTATGTGAGGCTAAGGGGACGGAACACAATTTGCAGTTACTTTGCACTGACCTAGGGAGGGTAGAAGCATGCCTTGAGGCAGGAACCCACAGTAGCTTCTCAGGAAACAGAACTTCAGATACAGCTCTCAACTCCTGGTCACTGTGGAGAACAGGAGGAGGTGCTGTGCTAATCTGTGTCGGCCATTTTCCATCCAAGGGCCATTTTCCGGAAGAGTCAGGGGCCTCCTCTTTTCCGACTGGAGCTGACAGTAGGTGAAATGGGCTGTCATACCTTGCCGCCTCCTGGCATTGAGGATTCTGGGTGAAGGAGAAGAGAGCAGGGCTCAGTGGGCCGTTTGGATTAAAAATGGTGAGCCCTGGCTGGTGTCCCTCAGCGGATAGAGCATTGGACCAAGCGCCGAAGAGTTAAGGATTCTATTCTGGGTCAAGAGCACATACCTGGGTTTCAGGTTCATCTTTAGCCCCAGTTTGGGAGTGAGCAGGAACACAACCAATCAATGTGTGTCTCTCCCCGCCCACTCCCTCCCTTCTAATCTCTCAAAACCAATGGGGGAAAAATATCCTCATGTGAGGTTTACAAAAGAAAGTAAAAATAAATGAAAACGGTGAATTGAAAGTAAAAATAAATGAAAACAGCTCATTGCAGCTAACCGGAAATGGGGGCATTCTAATGTCACAAGAAGGACCTCATCTGGGTTCTAATTCCGCCTCTGCCACAGAGCAGCACTGAGCTTACTCAACTCACTTCCTTTCCTCATCGGTGCCTCAATGTCCCTGGCAACAGAAGGGACAGGTTGGGGGGTTGGAAATTCTGTGATTTCAACAGAGAGGCCTTGCGGAATTCGTGCTGATTGGACCTCAAGGCTGGGCCGGGACAGGTCAACGTGAAGGCCCAGCATCTGGGGCTCAGGCCCCAGCCTCGGGGAAGCCCTGCAGGACAGGCCGGAGGTCTTGGGGACCGAGCCGGCCCACCACCGGGACTGGTGATCCCCGGAGAAGGGAATGTGTGAACCACCCTGGAGTCCACGACTCCAAAAGAGTGCAGGGAAGACCAAGCCTCCTGCTGGCCCAGGTGTCTGGCTCAAGCTTCCTTCCCAAACAAGAACATGGTTTCCTAGGTCCGGAAACTGAGTGAAAACTTGATACTCCTACTTTAGTGGCTCTAAACCAGACTTTCTGTCGCCTTAGACGGGCTCATGGCCAGCTGGCACTCACCATCCCTCACAAGATAACCCTGAGAGCAGGACGGAGGGAAAAACCTCTAAATTCTTTCCGTGCTGGCAGGGACCTGCCATCGAGTAGAAGATGCAGGCCCAACAAACTGGTCGCTGCTCCAGATGGCTACAGCTTTCCCCACCCGTGAAATGCAAGCTCCCCGTTCTGTGTTTACAATACTGCTGCTTGAATCAACTCAGTTCTTGGGAAGAGGATCCTGGGACTTGTATGGATCTGTAATTGCGTCCTCCTCTTCCTTCATTGTATGTAAGGCATTGAACTGGTCTCTATAAACAGAGGCGAAAGAAACAACAGGCTTGTGTCTAAAATAAAACACATGACTCACCAGCCCAGGCCAGGACCTGGCCGAGAAAGGCTGGCATTTTTCTGGGACTCGGACATCATGGGGCTCATGGCAATCATGATCCCTGAGTTGGGAAAATGAGGATCGAAGCACGTGACGTGGGTCTGGGAACCCTAAACGTCGACAAGACCTGCAGAAGCGTCGGGGGTCAGGCTGTTCCTCATCTCGGGAGAGCAAGCCTTGAGCCATCGGAACCTCAGCTCAGAAATGCGTGAGCTTTGACGGGTCAGACCCTGGTTTTCTGGCTTGAAATGAGTCTGCTGGATTGGGGCAGTGGCTCCGGCTTCTTCAGCCATGAAGCTGATGAGGCGCACCTAATGCGAGGGCTTCTCTGAGAGCTCACCAGGAAGCGAGCGGCCCGGGAGCAGTGATACTCGCACACCGCCGTGCCCTGAACGCTGGCGTCACTGTGCTCCCAGCGCCCTTGGCTCGGCATCTGGCCTTCTGGTTTGCAGTGCTCTCTTCCCACCGCCCTGCCACTTGGCCTTGTGCTGCAGTGCTTTCCTGTCTGAGTCTGACCGACCCACCATCTCTAGGCACACAGGCCCTGCAGCCTTCCTCGTAATGGGGAAGACCCCACTCAAAGCAAATCCAGAAAGCCTGCCAACTTCCTGGCCTCCTGCCGACACTGTCTAATGCGAAACCATCATCAGGTCAAATTCCTGGGTACCAGCCGAAGCCCGTGTGGCTCAGTGGTAGAGCGTCGGACTGCGGACTGAAAGGTCCCAGGTTCGATTCCAGTCAAGGGCATGTACCTTGGTTGCGGGCACATCCCTGGTAGGGCGTGTGCAGGAGGCAGCTGGTTGATGTTTCTCTCTCAATGACATTTCTAGCTCGCTCTCTCTCTCCCTTCCTCTCTGTTAAAAAAAAATCAATAAAAAATATATATATTTTTAAAAATTCCTGGGTGCCAGGCCCTTCTCTTCTAGTTGGCACCTGCCTAACCTCTGTTGGTAATTTTTTTTAGTTTAATAAATCTTTATTGTTCAGATTATTACAGTTGTTCCTCTTTCCCCCCCCCCATAGCTCCCCTCCACCTCTACCCTTACCTCCACCCCACTGTCCTCATCCATAGGTGTGTGATTTTTTTCCCAGTCTCTTCCTGCACCTCCCCATACACCTTTCCCCCTGAGAATGATAAGTCCACTCCCTTTCTATGACCCTGATTCTATTATATGCACCAGTTTATTCTGTTCCTCAGATTTTTATTTATTTTTTATTTATTTTAAAAAATATATATTTTATTTATTTTTTTATAGAAAGGAAGGGGGAGAGATAGAGAATTAGAAACATCCATGAGAGAGAAACATTGATCAGTTGCCCCCTGCACAACCCCCACCAGGGTTATGCCCGTAACCAAGGTACATGCCCTTGACCGGAATTGAACCCAAGACCCTCAAGTCCGTAGGCCTACACTTTATCCACTGAGCCAAACGGGTTTCGGCTATTCCTCAGATTTTTAATTCATTGGATTTTTAGGTACACTTGTACCTATCTATCGATATGTATTTGTTCGTAATTTTTTAATACATTTTTTATTGATTTCAGAGAGGAAGGGAGAGGGAGAGAAATGGAAACATCCATGATGAGAGAGAATCATGGGTTGGCTGCCTCCTGCACGCCCCCTACTGGGGATCAAGCCCACAATCAAGGTACATGCTCTTGACCAGGAATTGAACCTGGGACCCACACCGGACAGGGCTGTGGTTCATAATTTTTATCTTTACTTTTTTCTTCTTCCTCTTCTTAAAGAATACCTTTTAGCATTTCATATAATACTGGTTTGGTGGTGATTAATTCTTTTAGCTTTTTCTTATCTGTGAAACTCTATCTGACCTTCAATTCTGCTGTTCGTCACTTTGAATATTTCTTGCCTGCATAGTTTCTGTTGAGAAATCAGCTGACCATTAT